CATAGTGATCTACCTAATTTGAAAGCAGTAAACTTGCAGTTTCTCCCGCCAAACACAACAGCAAAGTTGCAGCCGATGGACCAGGGTATCATAAAGTGCTTCAAACAGTCTTATCGAAATGGCTTGTCAGAAAAATGATCTTAAATATTGTAAGCAATTAGAAGATTTGCAATTAATAAGCATTAATTAAATAATCCGACAATATTTTGAAAGTCCAAAACCGAAACTAACGGTAAGTCGAACTTCCGATATGTCGAAGTTTTTCGTCAGTTCCATCAGATTCGAGTTATCGCGAATTCACTGTATATATATATATATTTATTTATTTATTTTCCTTTGCAAATTTACAGTGATATTTTATTAGTAGATTCTTGAGCAAGAATTTAATTTCTATTAAAATAAGTGAGTGTTTCAAAGAATTCTCGAGCAGGCAAACTTTAGAAAATAGTTTAAGAATATATATTTCTTTTAAAAAAGTGCCCGATTTACTTTTTATATTTTGTTTATTGGTTAAAACTCAATTTGAATGAGGAAAACCCATTTATTAATTTCATTCTTTATAATTTTGTTCGTTATTAATGACTATATGCGAAGACACAAAGAGTTGGCACAAAATACGGTGTTCAAATCATTTATTAACAAAATACCGTTTATTTGTTAATTTAAATTCCGTTAATTAAGTAAATTCCATTAAATTAAGCCCATTAATTATTAATTCTCAAAGATTTAATATGATTTAATGTTAAATCTATTTCTCACGAGTCAACGGATATTTTGAAAGAGAAAAAGGCACAATGCTTTTTTATCTATTTAATTCTTTAAAAAAAATATAAATAATTAAGAATATGCAAACTTAATTATAACTGCAGATTTTGATCGATTTTTATCAAATTATGAAATTAAAGGACTGAATTTAATGGAATTCTTGAAACAAACGCTATGATAGTGCTTTAAACTTTAAAAAAATTTCCAAATGTGAATTTATTTTTAAAGTTAGTGCATATTACTTATCGAATGAGTTTTTTAAAATTCATATTACTTCTATCTCTTAGAAAAGGAAAACAATTTTGAATGTATTTGATTTAAATGAAATACATCAGCAAATAATGTGTATATCTATTTGTATATGAATTCATTGATAAAATTGAATTAATTGAAATAATAATTTCTCGGAATTGAAATTAATAAAAATCAATCGTTAAAGGCTTATCAACTTGCAAGCTCAAGTAATCCAACAATTTTTAGCACTCTAAACATTTAAGCTATTCTCTCCATGCTCTTTCGTTTTAATGAATACTTTGTATTTTATTCAAAGAAAATCTTTCTTTTAATTTTCAAATAATTATAAAGGCTAGTTTATAAATGTAATGGCTTAAAGGATAAAGCTATTACAAATTCACCTTTTAAAAATGCATATCACATCGGTAAGACTAAAACGACGAAATGCTTAAATAATATACGAAACGCATTTCTTATGTACTACAAATTAATCTCATTAATATACTAGCATGAATCTAAGTGTTAAAAAATAGTTTTTAAATATTTAAGTACGATATTCTCAGTCCATACATACTTAATATCGCTAAAGAAATAATTCATTTTATTCATAAACTACAAAGTTATTTTTCTTATCAACTCTTTCTGTCGTTGCTCACTTTTTGCAATTACACATTTTAAGTACACACATAGTACAAAATAGAAGGCAACTATTTCACTTTTTTATCAATCTAATTTTAAGTGCGTAATACTTTAGTCTGTAATTCTTTACATTAAAAGGAAACTTTTTTAAGAACTTACCTTAGCAATTTTATTAGCTGCCATTTTGAATTACGTATAAAATATAGCACACTCTATAAGTGATCTGTCAGATTTTCGGCGAGAAAATGCATTTTATATATTTTCCTTATCAATTTTCAGATGTCACGGTGACCTAGAAGAGAGAGATTATTTACTTAATCGACCCTGAATGGATGAAAGATTTTCGGTTAGATAAGTAAGTTTAAATCATCCGTCAGTAGCAACACATAAACTAATATAAACATTAAACCTAAAAATTTTTCATTATGTGACTTAAACTACAGTTTGTTTCCTAGCAACTGCGTTAACTGTCATAAAATGATATGAAAGTATTGTTTTTCATTATTTCAAACAAAATATGAAGTTTTAATTGAGTTTTCATATTTTTAAAATGTTTTTTTTTTTTTGAGAATTAAATTTTTAAAAAAAACATTGTCTTTTTCTCTTTCCATGGTCACGTAAAAAATCAATTTGACATTAAATCATAATCAGAGCTCGTGATTTCTTTTATTTAAATCTGATTTTTTTTTAATTTAAATCGGATTTTATTTATTTTTGTTCAAATACACTGTAAGAAGTTTGATTTATGAGAATTAAAACTTTATAAATGTTTAATCAAAATTAAATTAATATTAAAACTATATTACAAGAATATTTTAGAAGCTCTAACTACCTAAAACAATTTTTCATTATAATACATACCCTTGAATGCATAGCAACCATTTTGAAACAAATGCATGATTGAAATTTAAAGACTAGATGAAATAAAGAATTTAAAGAATACTTTAACTATTAAAACAAAGTTTCAATTATCAAACCATAATTTTAATTTAAAACTGTGCTTTCTTTTTTTTCTCTTTACTTTTGAAATTACGAAATAAATGTAACAGATTGTGTTTATAAATGTGGTCATTCATCTAAAAATAAATATTTAATCTATATATTTTTATATTAAAATATTCATTTTTAATCCTATATCAAAATAGATAAGTTCTATAAAAAAATATTTAAAAATCTATGTACTCATTGAAATTTTTATTCACAAAATTTCTTTATAGAAAATCTGATAATGTCAAAGATACTATAAACATATTATGAGAAAAAAATGCTTACTTTAATCTGTACTTTCAATCTCAAGAATCAAAATATTTTTAAAAATGTGATTTCAAATGTGTTGGAATTTAACACATACCAAGAAAGAAAGTAATTTTGTTAGCTAAAATTAATTAATTGCAGCAATAAAAAATTTTAAAATTAATGCAGCAATTTATTTTAAATCAATATATATATTTAAAAAAATCAGTTGATTTAAATCAATGATTTTTTTTAAAAAATCCTTTGATTTAAATCATGATTTAAATCGTGATTCAAATCAAGCTGATTTAAATCAACAAACCCTGATCATAATTTTAAATCTTTGATCATTAACATCGTGCAAATTTACTGCAATCTTAATACGGTTTTAAATTGAATCATGTTTCTATATAACTCTCACCTTAGCTATATAGTTTTGCATATCATCCTTGTATCAGCGTAACAATGCATGCTAAGAAACATGCAAAATGTATAAAAGCAAATAAGTAACCAAATTTTTGTGGCACTATTTAGTGATATTTTAAAATAGTAGTAAAAAAACAGAGGAATGTAACCCATACTCGGAAAAATTAGATTTACTTTGAACTATCATCTAAGTACCTTGAATAATACGGTGCAAATTTACTATAAGGTGTTAAACTGAATAACGTTATATAGTATATATGAAAGTATAATATATTATAATTGATATATATAGTATAATTGATATATATAGTATAATTGAAATCATTGTATGGTGCAATCAAGTTTAAGTAAGTTTGCCTTCGTATAAAAGTTGTACTAATTTTGTACGATATTTTAATTCGATGCTCTTCAAAATTTCTAACATTGTATGAATCGTTTGTGCAGGAAAGGTAAAACTTTTTGCAACTTTAGTCAGGAAAAAATACTTTACCCTGTGTGACAGAAAGCAAAATATCCAGATTTGAAGATGGCTGGGGGATTTGTGTAGTGCTCAGTTCTAAAGTACAACATTCCCAGTTGTAGATAGTAATTGTACGGCTAGTTGTAGTTGTACGGCTGTCCCACTCACAAATTAAACATGGGTACTTTATAAATCCCCCTTGTTAACTAAGAAGCATGGAGATAACTTTCAAATCACCGCAAATGGTCCAACTGTGGTCGATATATTTTATTTTGTTCAGGACGAGAGCCAGATTTATATATTAGTCTTTGATATTTTCGGTTATACCCACGAACATGGCAGGAACAAAAATAACAATCATCAAAGTGCTTTTGGGACTCTCTCCACATCATAGGAATTCCAAATCGTAAAGCAGTCCTCTTTCCTTGATGCCATAAGCGTAGATCATTGAGACACTGCACACAAACTTTATGAGGTGCCCAAGATTTGTCCTGATCTCCGAGTTTCATGTAAAAATATGAAAGATAAAGTTGTCTTTCATAGTCTGTAATGCTCCTCATGCGATTTTTAACTACACTATATTCGCCGCATGTATAACAAAAGTCATCTGGGAAATTTTCACAATGTCTTGAACTGAAAGCGCTGTTGGTAGAGAGAGTAGTTAGAGAGAAAGGGACGGTGACAGGAAGTAGTGATAGAGGGGTACTTTTGTAGATTTGACCAAAGTAGAATGCTGGTCCATCAAAAAGGGAAGAAATTCAGAAATGAAACTTTGTTATGGTAAATGTTCATAAAAATTCCAGTAAAATTGAATTTTTCTAAAAAACGTGATGTGATGGACATTTTTCATTATTATTTTCCATTTCAGTACCAAAAAATACATTAAGTTCAGCTACCAGACCCCTTGTATTTTTTTCATCGCAGGCCTGTGTTATTAATTAGAATCTCCTTTGCTGTTATGCTAATCGTGCACTGTTTTCTTCACTTTGTAATGCACTTAGTTTTATTGAATAGTTTCAATTCATTAGTTCCAAGAAAGTGAATGGACCTCACCAATACTTGATAAAAAGAGCCTTCTTGTTTTCAAGAATGGGATCAAAATTAAAAAGTGGAATTGTACTAGGGTAAAGTGACCACATTTTTATTGAGACAAAGCGGGACAAATGGAATGAAATGAGAATTACAATTTAGTCAAACTTTCAACACGCACAATATATATATAAAAATGCGAATAAATGTTTGCAAAAATATTTTCAACATCAACTGGAAGTAAGTCAGATGTTGTTTGAATAGTATAGGTATAGAATGTGCGCTGCACAACCTACTCTAATATTTTTTTGCTTCAAATNAAGTACACCCTAATGTGCCATAAATTTCACGCTATTGAAACAAGAAATAGAGTTTTTTGTTTCCTATTGTTTTCTTGAGAAATGCTAAAGTAGGTGGTAAAGAAAACACATTAGGGATTAGGGGTTATCAATAAATAAAAGAAAAACAGATTACGTTTGGTTTATCCTTTGAAACAAAGGCTGAAGAAAAAGAACCTCATTTGTTATTCTTTCAGACGGTGTCTCGTTGGATGTGTGTAAGAAATAATTTTCGAATTTACACACCTTAAATTAGATTTTTACTTCATTTTTTTTTATATGATATTGATTAATGAGATGTAAATAAGTAGGCGACGAGTATTCTGTAAATTTCAATTAATCTTTTTTGTGCGTGCATAAAAATCAAGATGCTTTTATAGAAACATGAAAAGTTTTGTTTAGAATTAGTAGAAACATTTGATTGGAAATTAAACGCATAGTACATATTGAAATTTAAATTGATTACAATGCAATGATTATTTTTAAAATTTCCATTGTTACGTAATTGCTGGAAGATTCTGCAAATGCTTGATTGAAAAAAATTCGAGTAGTTACTTATATATTGTTGATATTTACCTTGTCAATGTAAGCCATCAACTCGTAGTTTTATTGATTCAGAAATATCTCATAAACGTCGCATAAAGAAATATCTCATAAATATCTCATTCAGAAATATCTCATAAAAAAATTCGAGTAATTACCTATATATTGTTGATATTTACCTTGTCAATGTAAGCCATCAACTCGTAGTTTTATTGATTCAGAAATATCTCATAAACGTCGCATAAAGAAATATCTCATAAATATCTCATTCAGAAATATCTCATAAAAAAATTCGAGTAATTACCTATATATTGTTGATATTTACCTTGTCAATGTAAGCCATCAACTCGTAGTTTTATTGATTCAGAAATATCTCATAAACGTAGCATTTTAAAAGCATTTCCAAGCCAATTCCATCTTATTTTTAAAATATTTCCTGCATTAAACGCAGCCTTCAAAATAATCGTTTGTCATATTTTTTATATTTATTTAAAGCGTATAGTTCGTGAAATAATGTATTTCCCATATTATTTTTTACTTTTTCTATCATTGCATAATTTTTTCTCTTATGCACTTTTTTACTTCATTTAAAACAGTCAACTAGATTAGTTTTGCTCCTTTACGTAATTGTTCTGATTCATTTCATAATGCATGCTAATTATATTATTTCTGCTTTTATAAATTGCTGTTCTACTCTATTTAATACTATATCGGTTAACTACATTATTTGTGCTAGAGTACGTTGTAGTTCTACTTCATTTAATACCTGCCTGTTATCTACATTTTCTTTCTTTTATACGTTGCTGTTCTACGTTACTTAATATTGTTACCTACATTATTTGTGCTTTTATGCGTTTTTTTTTCAACTTAATAACTATCTGTGGTTACCAAAACTATTTTTATACGGTATTGTTGTATTTAATTTAATAACTATCCCTCATAACTATTTTATAGATGTTTTTATACGTTATTGTTCTACTTCATTTTATTTTTATTTTATAATCGTCGTTGAACAGCCGACACAATTTTGGGTTAACGACTACTAATGATCAACTCCGTAGCCTTGTAATTTTGAACCAATCCAGAAGACAAGGAAACTTCAGGATTAGTATCCCCATAAGTACGATTTGTTATAGGAGCATGGAGGACTTTGTGACTCGACAGATTTAACCTGCATTAGTCACCATGTACTACTTTATGCAAAATATTACCCATTCATGCAAAATATTACCCATTGTCAAAATGGGTGTTGTCTTGGGTTTG